TCAAGATAGGGTAAAAGATGGCGTTCTAGAACTTCGTGGATATAACGCTGCGCGTTCATGTTACCTCTGATGAAGATTAAAGGTGACCTGGAACCATAAGCTATAGCACCCCAAACCATAACTCCAACAGTTTGATGAACATGTCTTTCAACAAAAAACTGTGGATTCCTCCATTCACCACGTCGCCTTCTAACCCTGGCACGACCATCGTGCATGCCTAAACAAAATGGAGACTCTTCACTAAAGACAATACTGTTCCATTCCTGATCCCAGAGTGACCGTTGTCTGCACCACTCAAGGCGATTACGTCGGTGTTCTCGAGTTAAAGGGAGGACCCAGTGTGGCCGGTATGAAAACAAGCCAAAACTTGTCATTCGTCGGTAAACACTTCGCATGCCAATAGATCTTCCGTGTTCTGCAAACCATTCATTTGCAATGGACCTGGTAGTGGAGAAACGGTCCCTTAAAGCCAATAATCTTAGGCGGCGATCTTCACGGTCTGTTGTTCTACGGCGGCGTCCAGTGCCCCTTACTCTTTGCGTACGGCCTTCTAGAAGCCATGCCGACAACACCTAACCACAGTGTCTACACTTCTTTGCACTCTAACTGCAATTGCCCGAAAAGAAAGTCCAGCTTCCCGAAGTCCCACTATACGGCCCCTATGAAACTCACTAAGTTGACGAAATCGTACAGGTCTCCGTGCTCTAGGTATCGTAACCGATCGTAAAGGATGTCAAGAACCAAAATCCGCCAACGTTGATTCTTTACTGCGGCTGAAATATTCATTTTTAGAGCGTTAGTGAATTAAAAAAAAGCAGTATAAAAACCGGAATGTCCAACTGATAAGGCTGAAAATTTTTTCACTTGTTATTTACAGTAAGATAAATACATTCACCAACGTTTATTAAAATAAAACCATTTAAACTGGGTGTTCGGGTTTATATGTCACTTAGTATATATATATATATATATATATATATATATATATATATATATATATGCTTAACCAATAATTTTCTTAAAACAGGGTCCATCTGAATATGCGGTAACATATGGAATATTGCGTTCCATATCATTCGTCAAGAAGAGATTGAGATGAGATTCTCTAGCATTTCCATGATTAGTAGCGATTCAATGTTCAAGATCGCTTAACCTTCGACAGGCTATTTCAAAATATTAACATTTAAATGTATATTCTACGGTTATAAAGTACTAACATGAAGCATAAAAATGGGGTACCACATGACTCCCCGTTCAATTAAAAAAAAAACAAGATGGCGCCCCATCTCCAAATTTTTAAGTGTTATTTTTTACTTTTACCTTGAAATATTCATATTTCATCATTCCATTCAACAAACACGTAGGGGGGCTTTTTCAAAAGCACTGCATGTGGATATTCAAAAGGCAGAATGTTTTCGCTTCCGATACGACAATAACCAAAAGAATCCAGGAACTCACGAGAGAAAGTATCAGAAATAATAATTTATCCTATAGCTTTTTGCCTTTACTTACTACGAGGCAAATCGAAAAGGAACGAATAGAAGATTCAAAACGTCGATAGTGGTGATGAGGATTTATAAACCACCGATGTTATGTGATTCAGGTTTTCGTAAAACAAGGTTACTAAAATAGCAAAGGTAGGAAGACGCCCCAGCCCTTAGAGAGGCTTGTGCTATATATGTTTGAAAAGGTTGAAACTTTTTTATTTTTTGTTTAGTACGGCGCAATTATATATCTTCTGTTCTCATAAACAATAAAAAATGAAACTCTGGACATGAAATTAACGCGAGATTATGTTGTTTTTAGAATTGTTTCACCGTTTTTACAATCCAAAGACTAATTTATTGATTTAACACTAACTTATAACACAACTAATTCATAACAGTATTATATCTGTGTCAACTGTGACTGCCTACTTCTGTCGGATATTTATATGGTGAATCGACCGTTCCCGATGCACTCCAGCATTTTCTAGTAAGACCCCATTCCTCCTCGAAGCTGATAGATGACCCTCGTGGGTCTCCTTGATTCTTGAATTTTGGCCCAATCTTCTAGATAGCGCCGCAACCGCTTACGTACGGTCGTATAACTGATTGCTTAAGCCTCGACACCCTGGGTTCGCTCCACCGCCACCCAAGGTCTCAGCTATACGAGGGCGTTACAGTATGTTTTCAATTAATCAATAATTTTTAGGGAGTTGAATCGACTATTTAAATTGAAAATTTCATTTTGTATGTTTTTGCCAGTTACCTCTTTCTTCTCTATATAGCATTTCACACCTTTTTTGGCGACTTCTATGTTTTTGCTGTTCCAATTGGTATAAGAACGAATATATTAAGTACCCACCATGTTCTCTCTGACGAACCATGCAAAATACTGAACATACTGAAATTTCAGTCAATTTGATCAAGAGCCGTTTGCCATTCTGAAGATGCCATCTTGTTCGCAACAGAAGTTGATCTGTTTTACTACTTTGCGCTGAATATCGTCACAAAGAACGGTCTCTTGTCAGGTAAGCTTGTTAAGGGCTTGAGCGTGCAGATTGAAGCACTTCATGACTTTCTAGTCCAACTCGTTTATTTAACTTCATGTAATACACAGCACACAAACAAGACAAAAGAACAAGGGAAAAGTTACAAGAAAGTTCACAGTATTAACCGTGAGATACAAGAAATACCTCGCTCATAATGAGCTTTGTAAAGGTTGTAGGGTACATAGTTACGCTTCCTTTTATGCTTTGTTTCAGTATACAAATACAGTGTCCAAGGCTGAGACAACATTATTACAACCGCTAAATTTTAATTTCAAGCCGTTTTGTATTGTACTCATAGAAACTTTATTTATGAGCGTAAGTTGTATCACAAACTAAAATATTTCATTTTTCAACATAGACTCCATAAACCGGGACACCAACTTTTGGACCCCGGGTCAAGAACGCTGATAGTTAAACTAGTTAGTAACTATTTTTCTTCAACCTGTCATCATTTTTCAAGCGCTTTCCACTAATAAAAGTCTTGGAAAATATGAAATTCTGATGCTGCCAAGTCAGAGCTGTATGGTGGATAACCTGGTAGTTCCCAAACAAACTTGTCCAGCTGCGAACATTTGTTTTATTAGTATCTCTCGGATTGGACTAAAAATAAATGTATGTTACGCACGCTGCATGAACCAGAGCGCTACAATATTCATATAATAATTGCCTCAGACATTGGGCACCTTGAAGGTTATCATTTACAAATGTAAGAAACGATGAACCAACCATTTTTCAGTTGTTCGATTTTCCACAACAAACAGCATTGCGTTACGCCAAGATTTTGCTAGTCTTTATTATATTAACATGAGGAGGTACCCAAAAATAGCCGGAATACATTTGCAGTGGGAGGAGTTTGTGTAGTACACATTTCTGCCCCTAGAGATGTACAGCGCAACTCATAACCAGTTCAGTGCCAACCTGAGTTGTCGATCTGGCTTGTTTCGTTCCTCTGTAGTCATTATTTTTGCTAGGCCTACTTCGTGCTTGTTTCGTTATTTACGATGACAAGCTTCAGTGAGCAACATGGAACTGTCAAATTTTGCTTTCTATTTGGTAAAAATACTGCTGAAACTGTTTTAATATTGAAAATAGCTTACAAGCATGATGCTATGGGAAAAACTCAGGTGTACGAGTACTTTGATCGATTTAAAAATGGCGTCATGTCGATTGATGACAAGCCTCGCTCTGGACGTCCATCAACTACCCGAATCGATGAAAATGTTGAAAAAACTCGAAAGGTGGTGCTTGCAGACCGCCGACTGTTACTCGATCAACTATCCGGAAGTAGTGGGTATGTCCTGGAGTTCGGTTTAGTGAATTTTAACGGAAGATTTGGGACTGAAGAGGGTTGTTTCCAAGTTTGTTCCTCGGGCTCTGACTGACGATCAAAAAGAACACCGAGTTGAAACATGTTGTGCTTTGAAAGAACAGCTTGAATCTGATAAAATTTTCTGTCAAAGATCATCACTGGTGATGAGACGTGGTGCTACGGTTATGACCCAGAATCGAAGCAACAGTCAAGTCAATGGAAGACGCCATCGTCACCCCGTCCAAAAAGTGTCGCCAAGTCAAATCAAACATCAAAACAATGCTGACTTGTTTTTTTGATGTCAAAGGAGTAGTCCATTCCGAGTTTGTTCTCCCGGGTCACACTGTCAATCAGACCTTTTATTTGGAGGTTTTAAGACGATTGCGAAACAGACCTGATGTGTGGCAGTCAGGAGACTGGTTCTTCCACCACGATAATGCACACAGCCATCTCTGTTCGACAGTTTCTGGCTAAAAATGGCATGGTTCTGCTGCCTCACGCGCCTTATTCGCTAGACCTGGCTCCGTGCGACTTTTTCTTATTTCCACGGATGAAAAGCGACATGAAAAGACGCCGCTTTGACGTCATTGAAGAGGTCAAGAAAAAAACGAGGGAGGAGCTGTCAGAAATTTCTAAGGAAGACTTCAAACAATATTTCGAGCAGTGGAAGCACTGATGGGACAAGCGTATAAGTTGTAGTGGACAGTATTTTGAAGGAGATAAGGCTACTTTATGAAAAAGTTGAAAATAAATAGCTTCCGGTTATTTTTTGGGTACCCCCTCGTATATGTTCTTATAAAGCAAACTGCAAGGTGTCAAAGTACTATCTCTCACATTTCGGTAAATAAACAATGCAGATGCAGCAAGTAGTCAAAGGTTGCATAATGATAAGTAGTGAGTTGCGAGAACAGTTGAGGTTGGGTTGTCCCGTTCTCAGAACCGCGTGGTGTTTCCGGAGCGAAGAGCAACGACGACGTCTCCAATTTCAAAATTGGGAAAAAAACGTTGTTCGTCATTTTGCAATTTCTAATCCTATTAGGTCGCAGTCAAAAATGATGATGGAGGAAGGAAGTTTGAGTTCTCATATTAAACTTGTAAACATTAAAATATTGAGTTTTCGTATACCTAGAATTTTAGATAGTTCTTTATTTGACTTTACCTCTTACTTTTAAAATACATCATTTTGATTTAATCAAATGTCTAAGATATAGTGAATCTATACTTTTATTAAGCGTAATAAGATGAATCACAGGGCACATACAGGATCGGCAGAGAATCACTGAGGTCCCGAACTTGATCTGTACGAGAGAGATAGAGAGAGAAAGATGCGTATATTAGAGTGTATTTGTGTCCCTATCTCTCTCTCAGACACAGGTTAATAATTTTCTACTGATCCTTTATAGCATGACATTATACGTAACCTACATCATGTACGAAGGAAGTAAGGACTCAACTGGAGTATTTTTGATGTGCTGATTTCAAAATTACCTTTCTGTTTTTCGCAGCTGCTCTAGTTTTCAAGGTATAAGCGACTTAATATTTGAGAAAGTGCAAAGTGTGCCATCCACGACCCCGTCAAACCATATGGAGAAATGAAAACTGCAATGTTGCCAAGGTAAACCTGTTTTTTAATTGCTCTTAATTGACTTATTACGTCAATGCTGTTCATTAAATGGTGGATGAGTTTACACCTTAAAGTAGGATGCTTATACTTTAATATGTAAGCTCATTCACCATTTAATGAACATCATTGAAAAGTCAACTTATTATAAACAGTTAGTGAGCAAATATTTACAATAATAGCACTACCTAAGATGCTTTAGGGTTTTGTTAATGGGTATTAGCAGGATATTTGGGAGCTTTGCCAGCATTGAAATTTTTATTTTTTCATATTGTTTTTCGGGGTCGAAAATGGCATAATTTGCACGTTTTGAACTATTAAATAAAGGAAACTACAGCTGCTATGGAAAAATATATAAATCTGTTGTAACTTTTCCTGCACCATTTTTTTTTCATTTAGATGGACTGTGTAGTCATTTACAGCCAATCCAAATTCTTCCTATATCTGTTAGCAGGCCTGGGCGACGGTCTAGGAGCTGCCGATGGTGTCGGTTGCGACGTCGACGGTGTCTCTGTTGGCTTCGGCGTCAGTTTATTTTTATCATCATTATCCGCACCCTTACGTCCGTCATCGGTCTTCCCATCCCCCGAACCACCCCCCGATCCCCCCATGTTTTCGTCTTCATCTGTTTGTGTTACGGTCATTACAGGAGGCGATGTTTTTTTCTCGGAATCGCTGCCATTGTCTGGAGGTTTCGAATCGATCTCGGATGACTGTGTCTTCAGTTCCTCCTTGGGTTTCTCCTCCTCGACACCTGCGGATTGTGGAGCCGCCGACTTTTCTGTTACTTCTTTTGTTTGGGTGGCGGAAGGTTGGTCTGGTGGCGGTAGTGGCTGTTGATTGGGTTCAGGAGTAGCTGAACGAGAGCCCACTGCAACAGGTTAGATTCGTGTCAATCATCACATAATTTTTATATTTCAAATCACATTCATACAAGAAACTTCATATCACACTGAACATTCTATTAGTAACGCACATATCTCAGACCAAAGAATACTGAGTAACCAGTAGAATGGGCATTCGCTAGAAAAACCCCTTTGATCTTCTAAAGGATGTAGAAAGTTATCTTGGAAATCGGTTCCTTGTTTAGAAGCTTTGCTTTGCAGAGCAGTAGGGGTATTACGTGAAAAATATAATATCATTAAAAATCGGTATCTCAACTTCTGTACTAAGTAGTCGCTAGCCCATTCCACGCACCGCGCTGTGAGCGCCACCTATAGAGCAATGACTCAACGACTATGTTGCCTAAGATGCTGCAACTCGCATTTTGCCAACATGCTTTGAGGGTTGCAAGCTGCCGAGATAGTCAACGGAGTATTCTTGTGAACAAGATGTGACGAAGAAAATATGTTCGAGTATTAAGATCGCATCTGAATGCTTGATGTTTGATCATTGATACCTGTGCTATGTGAGAAAATTATTGCTGAATCTTCTGCCCATGAAGCACAACTATTAGCTGGAAAGGATTTGATTGATTTTAGTTAGTCGAAAGCTGCGTTGTAAGTTGACAGCACCGGAAGACAGGCGAATAAGGATAATCATGTAGGTTTTGCGAACAAAAGGCTCGTAAAAATAAGATTCTCATCCGCTTGGAATGTAAATCCTTAATCAAATGTGAATAGTAGAGTGTTGCTTGACAAAGTCTTCCTACGGGTGCATTTAATTGAATTTTACATCATTTTGCTGAATATCCTAACTGGTCATAGGAAAACATGATACCACCAATACATATTACTAATATACTAAGCATCTATGTGCACTGTAGTGTTTCCTTCCAGTAATAGTATAAAACTTACAGCTTAGGCCATAGGAGCTATAAATGGTCTCCGCCAGCGCCATCTCTGAAGCAGATGTTACATTACATAAGGGCCAAGCCATGGAGCTCAGGTGTTATGACATTTGGGTATCTCGCATAGCTACTTCAGATGATTATAAAGTGAATGACAGCTAGTTCAAAGGTGAGCTTTTTTTGGAAAAATAGTCGAAGTGTCATTAAGCGTCGAAATAATGTCAAATTTCAAGTTACGCAATACAACACGGGTATAAAAGTGACATTTTGTTTTGTAGCTGTACGTGTTGCTTAAACGTCAGCGTACAGCGATCATAGCGTGGAACTATTTGCACATTAAAAACTTAGTCTGCAAGATGACATTTCGTCGGTTCTTTGACATTTTTAAGTTTTTTTACATAATACCCCTGCCGATGTGCGTGCTTTATTGCTTATACAGGGTGGTGCTTTGGCGCATGTAAATTAACACATAGAATAGGTGCTTCAAAAATGATATGTAATGGCACAGACGTAATTGTGTTTATACAGGGTGATCCATGTTATTACTATCCTCACTTAAAAGACAGCAAATGATAAATAATATCATTTTCTGAAAAATGCTGCGACTTGAATAATAGTTCTCGAGTAACGCAGCCAACGTCAAGGTTTCTTCATCAAAAAACTTGTTGAATTCGTACTTTTTGGAGAGTCTATATCTCATGAAATGGCAAGAAGAAGTAGAATTCAAATTATTTTTTAAATTTTTGCTGCTAACTACACCTCGCCCAGATATCCTCTATACAACAACATATATCGAATCCAAATATGTTGTAATTTGATTTACTGGAAAACCCGAACACATTGAATGTGAAGCTTCATTCAAGAAAACAATGCGACACGATGAACGCGGCTATTTTGTTGTTAATTTACCGACACAAGATAATACAATAAAGCTAGATTGCAATTTACATAATGGGATAACACGTCCACATTGCAATGGAACGAAAATTCTACAAAAATCCAGAGTTTCACGGTGAGTATGTAGCGTTAATGAAAAAATACAATGTTCTGGACCACATGTCACGAATATTTGAAACACAGGCCGTAACCAGCGTAGGTAACATATTTTATTTACCGCATCACGTAGTATATAACCGAGCTAATACAAACGTCCCTGAACCTTTAGATTCAGATTCGAAGATGATGAAATTACAGTCGACCAGTTCAGTAGTGAGGTCAAATCGCCAATATGCTAAAAAACTAGTATTTTCAGCTTCTAAGGTTGTTTATCAAATAGGGTTCTTAAACAAATTATTCCAGATAGTATCCCGAAATACGATATTACCAGTGGTGGAGCTAACGGGAAAACAAGAACAGGCACTAGTGTGTTATTTTAATACGCAAAATACTAAAAATAATTTCGTACATGAGGCTCCTGCTGTTACTAGGACTAATTGTACTCTGCTGTAAATACCGCATACCTGTTAATCTAAATTAGGTGATTTCGATAATAAACGATACAAACGAATGGGTGCATATAAAACAAAAGAATCGCAGAACCCAAACAAAAAACTTTGCCACCAACAAACACATATATGTTGTAGAGACCTCACAGAAGTAAATCTTTACGTCATAGCTTTACAAAAAATCAGAGGACTACACGGTGATTCTGTTCACATGAGGCTTGACTGCTCAAAACAGAGAAAAAAACTAAAACCCAAACGAATAAGGGTGCCACCAACCACCTCATATATGTTGTAGATAACGCACAGCAGTACATCGTTACAGCATAGCTTTGTAAAAAGTCATGGGAATACAGGGCGATTTGTCACAAAGCCATGCCGTGAAGATGTTCTCCTATGGAGATGTTTGCGTTCTGCGATTTTTCTCTTCGGGATCTAGAATAATTTGTTCAAAAGCCTTATTTGCTAATAAGTAACATAAAACAACTCTCAGAAGCTTAAAATACCAGTTTTCTAGCATATCGGCGATAGCGAACTGGTCGACTATAATTGCACCACCAGAAAATTGCGTGTTGTAATCGATGGATCAAGTAAATCAAATTGCGTCTTGTTCTTGAATGATACATTAAAAATAGGGCTTAAAATACAACAAGACTTGTTTGATATTCTGCTTAGACTTCGTAAATACCACGTGGTGTTAGTTGCTGGTACTGCCAATAAATCAATAAGTGAATGTTGAAGGTCAGCGTGATTTGCAGCGAATTATATGGCGCGAAAACGAGAGTGAAGAAATTACGACTTGGTTACGACAATCTCGAAAAGTATCCAAATGCCAGTAAAACGATTTTTACGTAGACGATCTAGTCCGTGAATCAGATTCAGTAGATGAGGCAAAGCAATTAAGAACCGAATTAGCTTGAATACTCGACTCGTGCGGTTTTCCGTTAAATTATTATCGAATCGCCCAGAAATAGTAGAGCAACCAGTAGCCAATGAATGTAACACGTATCAGCTCAAGCGTAAAACGTTAGGTGTATTTTGCGTAGCTCAATCTGTTGTACTGGAATACATAGTCGAAATAGAGTAGTTTGAACTAAAGCGCATCAGAAAGCGAGGCATTTGAGCTGCCATTTCAACGATATTTGATCTGTTAGGGGCACTCAATTCGGTAACTATAACCGACAAGTTAATGATACCAGAGCTTTGGCGGTTAATAGTGGGATGGGATGACATAGTCTCTTCTAAAGCTTTAAGTCGTTAGAATGAATTCATACAAGGATTACTGTCTATTATTAGACATCGAGATACCTTGACAAATTATAACGACAAATGCAACTCCAATCCAACCAACTTGTGTAGATCACTCAGTACAAAACATCATTATGTGAATTGTTTGACGCTTTGTATTGTCACTCCAGGTTAAGTAACAAACTTCGTAAAACGAAGCTCGCAAAGTGTTATTCTCATCAGCAGACCCGTCTATGTATCTTGCCTAATATCATCTAGCAGTGCATTGAAATATCTGCGTTCCTCTTTGCAGCTCTTTGTATTCTGTGCCCGCGAACCACTACCTGCTTGTAACTTTTTTTATATGTTTATTTACATTTGTATCACAGACAAAGAACAGAAGACAATACACAAAGGCCATGCAACATTTCAGGAACCGCAGATATTGTTTCTGGTACCTGTATTCTTTGGTTATATAATGGCTTTTCCTGCAAATTTCATTTCAACTTGGAGCAAATAAAAGTCATCAATACATGGCTTAGTAGAGTCTGACGCGCAAACAGAAAGTGCTTAGTCCTACCAAACGCTTCAATTCCACCACAAACCATCCGCCATGATTTCTTTTTGACCATCAACAGATAAAAACAAACTTTCACGGTTATTTGTTTCTATCTAAAAGTCCCAAAAATGTAAATTTTCACCCCAAACATATTTATAAAAAATACACCAAATAAACATTAGACATCGTTTTGGCTTGCAGCGTCGCTCTTCGGATAAAGTGATATATATATATATATATATATATACAGGGTGACTTTGAAGTTGAGTCATTAATTTTCAGATAATGATTGTAGAAGGAAGATAAACCAAAATATGTGTGTAAAAATAAAAAAAAATAAAAAAAAAATTTTACCTTGTTTTATAAAGTATCCTCCCGACAAGTATTTCAGTGCGGACCTGTATTTGATCGTGAGGTCCCCTGTGAGGTCTGAAGTCACCTGATTCACGAGCCCGTTGTACTACTATTAACAAAGGCACGAGGGGTTGGTTGCACTCGATTGGGAAACCGATCCGCATAAGCATGTGCCATTTTTTATTTCGTTTGAGCCACGCAACAGATACTATTCACACGCGACTGACAGTGATTGTATGTATAACTGAACTGAATAAAGTAAACATCGTTCCAAATTCTTTCGCTTTTTTGTTTGCGATGCGATGAACCGATAAGGTGGATTATATCCGTTGTTGCCAAACACCAGCACATGATGTTATTGAGACAGGGCGGTACTCAAACTTCCAAAGGGCTATAACTTTGTTACTTTAATTTTACCAGAAAAATGGTAAAGGAAAAAAACATTTCTTTTGATCAGATCTACTCACTGTTAAAATAAATGACTCAACTTCGAAGTCACCCTGTAGTGACTGCAGCGATTAATGATAATACCATTCATGTGAAGAATATCTGCTTTAGTGATGAATGCACATTTTATCTAAATGGATTTGTTGCATGTTAGGAAACAAAGTGAATGGGCCGTTGTTTATTAATGGAAATTTGTTTGGAGACATTTATTTGGATATGTTGGAAAATACCATCAATCCGCTTATCACTGAAACCATTGAAAACAAAATCGAAGAGGATGGAAACCCTATACTTGATGAGGCTGAAATATATTTCCAGCAAGACGGCGCTCCTCCTCACTATATTCTTCCGGTTCGGCAATTGCTAGACGACGAGTCTCCAGATGAATGGGTATGGCGAAGAGGGCCTATAGAATGGCCTGCTAGATCTCCTGGTTTGACGCCATTGGACCTTTTTCTATGGAGCCATTTGAAATACAGGGTGTAAGCGTTATGATAGTCATTATTTAAATGGGTGATAGAGGGGGTTAAAAGGAGCAAAAAGGCATTTTTTTAGACAAAAGCGACTTTAAAATAAATTAATATCTGACAACGCCGCAATTCCAGTCGCAAATTACGACGGAACGCTGTGTTAATAAAGATGTAGTTTATTACTTTTGGCACTTAGGTATTATTTAATTTTTTGATGGCCTGCACTCGTTGTACATGGTAGGGATAAAGCAAATTTTCCCAAAGGATTCTATAGACTATGGTATGCGATAGTCCTACGCGGCGGCCTAATTCCCGAGCGCTGATATCTGCATTGATTTCCACGATATTTAAAATTTGTTCCTCCTGCTCTACAGTAACCTATCTTTCACGAGTGCGAATATTAGTGGGCTGAACACTTCCTGTATCTCGAAGTCTTTGGTACTCTTGCACAAATGTCCTTCTGTCTGGGTGTACCCGTTGGCGAAATCTGTCGCGATAAATTTGAGCTGCAAGATTTGAATTCTGACGAGCTTCACCGTAAACTAACAACCTGTCGGCGAACTCTTGATTCGAGAACATTGTAAATAAACACGACGACGTTCAAGAACCAAAACAAAACAACACGCTCGATGCCCGGTAACTAACCACTGTTACCGTATGCGATCGAGTGCCGGTGCAATAAGAGTGATGAAAAGTCGACGCGCTGTTGTCATGTGTGTTTTAAATATTTAATTTAATGAAACTTACTTACTGGCTGACTACAAATTTTGGCTTAACTTAGAAAAACTTAATGCCATTTTTTTGATAATTACCCAATTTAAAAACGGTTTAGATTAGATTATAAAAATTAGTAAGATTGTGGTTGATATAAAGTACTTCAAGTTGTAAACTATAAAGCCATTTAGACAAAAATCTATTGACTTTTGAACCATGGGTCATATGAACTTGTTGACTTGTCTTGATCCCCTATTACCCATTTCAATAATGATTACCATAACATTCACACCCTGTATATTGTTCACTCTCCAACCCGAAAGTTTGGAAGAACTTTGTCAACGCATCATCGAAAGCTGCCATTATATCCAATATCATGTTTTTGAAAATGTCCGTCAGGTATTTGAACATCGCCTATATCATTGTTTAACCAATAACGGGCAACATTTTGAACACTTATTGAAATAAAAAGTGATGTTTTTGTGTGTTTTTGTTTTCTATCTGATCAAATAAGATAAATTTCTAATTCTCTTGAAAACGAATCTACCGATTTTCAAAAATCAAACGTCAAAATAAAAGACTTCGAAAGACGTTTCAAGCAATCGATACCTGTTGCCATTTAAAATTCTTAGGGGCTGACTCTGGGGGGCAGAGGGTGAAAGGAGTGAAGTAATTTTATGTAGATGCATCGGAGATAAGCAACCTATGTAAACTGAGGACATATCGTGATTACTCTACCTTTAGCCTAGACAATTTCTACCATGATTTACTTTTAATAAACTGGGATTTTATATATACGTTGAGAGATGTGGATCAAATGATTGACTTCCTGAGCTCTAATATCTTGTGCACCTTCAACTTGCATGCTCCTGTCAGAAACATTCGAGTTACCAAGCCACCAGCTCCTTGGCGAACATTCAACATAAAACTCATGATGCGAACAAAAAGTGACGCATATAAAAAATTTAAACGTACAGGAACGATTGCTGCCTGGGAATTCTATAAGAAAATCAGAAATTATGTTTCTAGTGCTATTAGGCGAGAGAAAAAAGCCTACCTCGATTATGTTATGAGACATAAAAATTCGAAGACTACATGGAATATACTTAGATCTTTGAATATCGTTAAACATAACTCCATAAGTCTACCTCCACATCTTCAGGATCTCGATTCATTAAATAGTGCTTTTTTAAACGTACCTCAAACAACCAAATCATTAACTCAATTGAACCTTTTAGACAAATATGAAAACGTCAAGAATAGTGGTACTTTTCTGTTCACGACAGTTTCCCCTGCCACTGTAGAGAAATTTATTAATCGCATCAAAAGTCATGCTAAAGGCTCAGATGGCATCACAATTGATATGATCCGTATAATACAAAAGCATTTGCTCAAGTATATTACCTTCATTATTAACTTTTGTATAACAAATAATCTTTATCCCTCTTCCTGGAAGAATGCTCTTGTTCTCCCTCTGCCTAAATCTAATTATCCTTCAAGTTTTTCTGATCTTCGTCCTATAAGCATTTTACCAAGTTTATCTAAGCTTTTGGAAATGGCTCTACATGAGCAGCTGCACACATTTGTTTGTCAAAATAATTTACTGACCACCTCCCAATCTGGCTTCAGACCATTACATAGCACCACCACTGCGCTCCTGTCTATATCGGATAATATTTATAGCACGGTTGATCAAGGAAATCTGTCCTGCTTAGTTCTTCTTGATTTTAGCAAGGCCTTCGATACGGTTGACCCAAATATTCTCTGTAAAAAGCTTAGATACTTTGGCCTGTCATCATCGGCTTGCACGCTGATTAAGAGCTTTTTAACTGATCGCTCACAGTCTGTCATATATGAAAACAATATATCAACTTCTTTATTCAGAAATTTTGGTGTCCCTCAAGAATCTATTTTGAGTCCCCTTTTATTTGCTCTTTATATATGTGATTTTCATGAAACCGCCAGCAACTCAATCGTTCATCATTACGCCGATGATACCCAACTTTATAACTGCTTCGATCCTGATGAATATATGCTTGGCCAACATCAAATAAATCAAGACCTGCAGTCTATTTTTGACATATCTAGTGCTCACAATCTAAAACTAAATCCTGGCAAATCATGCTGCATTTTATTTGGGCCCAAAAAGAATCGTGAAATAAATCAATATCGCATTAATATTATGGTGAATAATGAAGACATATCCTTCGTAAACGAATGCAAAAACCTTGGTATCTGGTTTGACTGCAAGCTACGCTTCACTAAACATGTTAACCAACTATGCAATGCGTCCTATAATGTGCTTCGTCAGTTATACCCGAGTCGAAGTGTCCTGTCGACACAGCTCAAGCTTAAACTCTGCGAGTCCCTTATCCTGTCAAAATTATCTTACGGTGACTCTGTTTATGGACCTGCTCTTTTACAACGTGATGCCGAGCGGATTCAGATGATACAAAACTCATGCATCAGATTTTCTTATGGAATCCGTAAATTTGATCATATTAGTAGCGCTTTTGACCAATCGGGATGGTTTAAGATGAACAAATTGAGGAAACTGCATTGCCTATCTTTGGTACATAAGACCCTTATCCTTAAAGCACCATATTATCTTTATACAAAACTAAGCCTCCTCTGCCAGTACGATCAAAGATCCTCTAGGAATAAACTCATCTTACTTATCCCGCGGCATTCGACAGCATTGTTCACACGCAGTTTCTCGTACTGGGCACCCAAACTATATAACTGCTTATCAAGTGAGTATAAAGAATATAGCCTAAGCAATTTTAAAAAAAGGTTAAAGATGAGTTTAAAGCAGTCGGATGGCTAAAATTTTACTTTATGCATATCCACAGGTAATTGATTGTTTCCTTTCTCTGATAAGTGTTATATTCTAAGTTTTTTTTTCTCTCTCTCTCTATAGTTTGTGTCAATGTTTTCCAGGTCGGGTTGTAAAACAGCATAAGCTGACACTCCACCTTTTCGTCACTGTTCCTTTTAAATCAATTATTTTGTAATCGTGTGACGAATAAAGGCCATTTATTATTATTATTATTATTATTATTATTATTTTTGTTCAAAAAGTTGTCCCCGTTGAGAAATCTTTTGACGTGTCTCTGCCTTTTTTTCTTTTAATCAGTGGTTTTTGATAAATGCGTGGTGGCAAGTTTTCAAATGAACACCCGTATATGCTTTTCTTTGAGATGCGACCAACTGTTTGTGAAGAAATATACAATTAATAAGGCTGGAGAAAGTAGCCCTTAGTAGGTCGCTGCATATCGACGATGTTAAGGTCAGAGTTTAAGGTGTAAAATAATTGAAAGTTATATCCATAAAATTAATATTATTCGTAATTAGCATCTACCCATATTCAATATGCCATGTTCAGTGTATGGGGGAGCTGAGGCTAGTTATTTATTTTTTATAATCGAGTCGCTGCGGCGTATCTCAATTTCGAAATGGGTTTTGCATAATACTCAATTCAATTCAATTCAATACCATATTCAATACTACATGCTTCCATAAAATATTCTAACTTATAACGTATTTAGTAAGTAAAGTGCAAAATAAGCTTATCATGGTTTTGCGTAAGCTATTTTACACATTGCTTCCTACTCACCTGGAGTACTGACTTCTGGGAGAGGAGATAACGCGGTTCTGGGAATCTGAAATGAAATAACGGCTAACAGGTTTCAAGAAAATATAAATGGGCAACAATTCACCGAAACATAACTCAGTTTAAACGCCTCGAGATTGCAATAACATTTTTGAGTATGCCATCGAAAATATGTGACATTCATGTTTATTTAAATAAGGTAAAAGGAATAAAAGATTATTTGACCTGAGCCTCTCGAATGCAGACCTGCCAACTTTCAAATCGAAGCTCAGTTTTCAAATACGTTACTTCAATGAGCAAGACATTGTTTTTAATATGTTATGTTAGAGATTTTGAAATCGCGATTCATGTTACCTTCCACAACAATCTGGGCTAACAGGGTAATGAGAACGATAAGCAATCCATAACAAATGCGATCTATATCGCCTTAGCGCTCCGTAGAAATATTAGTCGGTCCGACTGAGTTGTAAAGATTATGATTATTCTTCCTCAACCATTAATGTGCTGTAATGTTTAAAGCCAATCTTTCTTAACGTCAGTACTGTTAATTTCGTAACGTCCGTCGTTATATTCCTTACCTCTTCGCCTGCACCTGACTGACCTTCCGTTTGTTTCTCAGACTTGACCGACTTCTTGCTGTCTCGAGACGACCTCCGTTGTTTATTCTCGTCAATCGTGCTTTCTGGAGCAATAAAATTAATACATCAACACTTCGATTTACAAAAACCGTCTCAAAATATACCGTTGCTTATAAATAGCTCTCTACGAGATACATTACGGTCCTTGTAATGGCTTAATTTACTTTCTCGTTGAAGTTAGTTCGGTGTAGATCTTTATATACAGAGTGGTTTAGACAGACAGGGCACTATTTCTAGGATAATAAGTACAAAGGGTACTATACCAGTTTTGCAATATGACTTAACAAACGGACCCACAAGGCTGCATGTCACTGCATGTTAAGACATCTCCATCAGTGCATAATAGCCGCCAGCAGCCCGTCTGTTGATTCAGTTGTTCATTCATATTGACAGAGTAAAGTGTGGACTATGGCATCGTGGTCTAAGTACGAATCTAAAATTGAATGCTTATGACAGACGTTTTTATGAATCCTTTCATAATTAGTTTGACCGAAATCATTATCATGTCAATCAGTTGGAACCTAATGAATTTCAAAATTACTATGCGCTAAGAAATCTTTTTATCGCAAAGGTGTTTTCGAAACCACAAAATTGTTCAGAAGATCCTGCAGATTACTGTAAATTGGCATAAAAAAAGACTTTCTGGTAATAACTGACACACTGACACTTTCGTATCGACATACATAATGTTTGTGAAAACGTTTTTTAAACCTCAAATATTTAAAAGATAAATATCGCACATCATTAACTGAACAAAATATTTGTGTCGTGTTACCGTTAACATCAAATTTGATGCCTAAAGTAGAAAAATATAAAACAATTAAAACACATTGATTGTATCACCTTACCCACCCGAGACTTAGAGATATTTTCGTTCAATTTTGCTTATTCAATTATGTAGCATTGTTTTATCATTTCGCATAATAATTAAATAACTGGATATTCATGGTACAATTTCTAAGAATAACTAAAATAGAAATCGTCTTTGGTCCACTGAAAATGTCGAAATCCTCCATTTGGCACGATCGTTGAACAAGTTGAGTAGCCTTGCGTTAAGATGTTGCCTGTGTACTGAACTATCCTATATTTCTATCCAGCTACTTGTGTTTATAAAACCTCCCAAGTTGCGATGAGCCTCACGCAGTAATAAAATTAATAAATCAACCTGTCGATGGCATTTTAGAATATTATGTACGTACAGTAATAATACTAAAAATAACTTTAAAGTTTCAGTAGGCGCGCAATCACACGCTTTGCTGGAAATTCAGTGTACAAACTTCCTTCAAGAGTGCTTTTGAATATTTTGAGTACGTGCGCGGTGTTGGGCCATTGTTTATTTGATTTCATATTACTCCAATCTGGTGATTGGGCACAATACAAGAACTAAACAACCACAACCACTAACAACCATACAAAGTTGTAAGTACGTATATAAATCCCATATTCTTCATTTGTCATAAGCATTTATTATTCTATACACTCTCTGCGTGGACGTTTTTCAGATAAAATAATGCACTTTTGGCGCCTTGGCTGCAGCCTTTTTGCTACAATTTTTCGCAAAATACAACATTTTGATCGAAAATGAACGCAAAGTGGGATATTGTCTAGAAAATTAGGAAGACTATCCTAATTACGTTATTGGGATTTTCGAATAACATGCGAATAGATACAGAAAAAATAATATTTTAGTGGATTTATACCACGAAACCCAAAGAACAGGGATAAGCTTTGTGATTTTTAGAGAAATGCATTGTTTGTTTGTCGCAAATTTATTTAACATTAATGATACAAGATCAATGTTACACAGTATATCACATAATATATTTAAGATGATTCTCATTGCTTTATTTGGAATATTTGCAATTTTGAAAATACGCTTTCATTTGCAGTGAACAAAGTAGTCGAACAACATAACAAATGAGGAAGAATGATAGCGCTGTATACAGTTTTTTTTAAATAAACGCTTAGTGATTTATTTTTTTGGACATTTTTGAAATCAACAGTCCCCTTCAAATTTTAATCTACTATTTCTGTATGTGCCCAAATATTTAAATGCTTTGATTGACTCAATTTTTTCATGGTTTTTCCATTTTTCCATCTAAAGATCTTACTATAATCATACATTTTATTTTGTTCTTGTTTAATTTGAGTATATTGCATTCAACCAATTAATTATGTTTTTTGTATCATTATTTAATAGCTTTATTGCAGTTTCAAGGCTGGAAGATTGCTCATGGTACTTCCCACCCCATATGTTTTTTAGATGTTATATCGCATGTGCATCAAGTGATTTACCGAATATTACTACTATTTCAAGGGAAAAAAACGCAGTTTTTGAAATGCAGTCGAGTCAGAGTCTCCTAATCATTTTCAGAAAAAAAATTGTAGTGATTGCTGGTGCAGGGGGCAATAGATTCTGTATCTTTGACGTTCTATTGTTAAGAACCTTCTGATTCCGGTAATAACTTTAAGTTTAAATGACAAAAATTCGACGATTTATGTGTTCACAACTTGAAGTAATGAACGACGACCTATCCTTGTATGCGAAATCGATGACGCAGCAGTAGCAGGCAAACGGTTAATACTTTCACCCCTTAATCTTACCGAATACCCTTTGTGCGGAATAATAAACTGTTTATAATAGGCCATTATTTGAGTGTTAGGAAGAAGTATCGCTTCGGGTTCGGCGAAACAGTGGAATTGAGCTTGAAATTGAGATAGTCGATCTTGTTCTGCATTTTATGAGCCATGAGTGATTTAGTCAAAACTTCAATTTGTGTTCTTAAGTGCCAGCGATTTTTTTGTTGATATAAGTAGGTACATCTTTTTGTAGCAACAATGCATCTAACGGGCGTAATAACAATAAGGGAATATCGACAGGTATTTCGCAAACATGCTTCCTGAATGTGCATCGTGATGTAGTTACGAATTTTTGAACACTCCTTATTTAATCAGTTTCATTATACCCAAAAGTATCAGAACCTGAGAAACGTCTTAAAACGAAGTTTTTAGTCTCTTTAGTCTCGATGTGTCTTCTGCTCATTATTCCTCCGCAAAAATTAAGTAGAATTAGCTTATTTTATACTGCTGCCCAAATTTGATAAAAACCGATGAAGAGGTTTGTGACATTACGTGCTTACAAGAACGCCGACAGGTAGAATAGCATCTATTTGTGTCATTGAGATATTTTTGAACAACAAGAAACTGTGTTAAAACGGTTAAAGGCAATATTTTTGTAAAGACGATACTTCCATAGTTTATGAAGTCAAGTAACTAGACTTTGCACATGCACCAAGTAGTGGCGAGACACATGAATGCTACTTCACCGAGATAGTGACTAAGGCCTGTCCGTCTATTGTCTATTCCCTAATCTTTAACTTCTTTATAATTCCGAAAATACACCTTTGATGTTACTTTACCACAAGGTGACTACTATGCTAGGTCTTGAAAATTGAATCAATGACTGCGGATCTACCGAAGAGAAACAAAAAACCGCCGAGACACCATTTTTCGACGCTTCAGATATTTCTGCTCCTGTTTAGAAATCCTATGGAGTGGTTGAAAATTGGGATTTGTAGGGGGTGGTTGGTTTTAAATGTCGCATTGTTGATATCAGTGAAAGATGACCTTTTAGTGAGAAGTCACTAATATCACAGATATTTCCGTTACATCTACCTTAATACAGAAATATGATATTTTACACAGTTTGAGATGTATAGATTCACTATACATCGCATTTTAGTGAACACAACCTATGGAATTATTATCGATCTACGAATGATAACCATCCAGATTATTCACAAATAATACAAAAGTTATTCATAAAAACAATTCATAACAAACCTTTACTATATCCCTCAAAATCACTGTTTATAGGATCGAAACTTTCAGATATAGAAAAATTATTTTGGTATGATGGGATGAATTTCATAAAAACAACCATTCGACCATTTATAAAAATGATGAATATGATACTAGAAATAAAAATAAACAAATAATTATTGCAACATCAAAAGAAGAAATAACGTTGAATTATTCCATATACTTAGGTCCAAAATGATATCATAAATCGCCAAAATATTTTATATATTTTATAAAATATAATATTATATAGATTTTTTTTAGTCCTATCTCTTTATTTTAAGTGCTATGTTATATTTATGTTGGGTTAGCATGATATCCACATACAAGGATATTTTCCTTTTGTGGCATATCAATTTGTTCACAATTTTAATTGATGTGAATAAATTATTATTATTATTATTATTATACCTCCAAGGTCCGCTTTGTTACGAAGGCGTAGGAAGTATAGAGCCAATCTACTTGACGCCATTTGTTTAGCTTGGATAACGTGTGGAATTCGACCAGGTCGGGGATACTCGTACCACAACTGATTTATTTACGAACGGGTCCCGCGTACAATTGATTTTCCAATACAGCTCTGTCCTATCACATTTTTTTAAGAAGCATTTTCTGAACCGAATTACGTAGTCAGTGCCACCGTTTAATTCAAAAATGTGTTTACCAAAATATCACGCTCCTTCGTTGAAATCTTGTCCAGGCTATCTTGATAATTAAAACCGTAATGATTGAAACAGCAAACGGAAGCATACAACGGCTCCCTGGAAACCATGGAAAGCGGAAACAAAAATAATAAAGTCGGGTATCCGGTTTTCTTAAGGTGGAAGGGCGCCTCGCCTCAACAGTTAGGTGATTTCAATTTGAAACTCGTTATTCACTTGTTATTACCTCTGCTGTTGGGAGAAATAAGATAGGGTCGCCTGCTGCGAATGCTTGAGTTGCTGATTTCATTTTTCAAGGAAAGATAACATTTCAGCAAGTTATCTGGAACATCTTGACGAATTTAACCGTAATATTTTTTTATTTCAAGCCGTCCCTAGGAACTTAAAGGTAGAAACATTGCTATAAGCTACAATCATCGCTGAGCATATTCTACTTGAAGATAGCCGACCTGATACGATATTCTCGCATTCTGGGAATTATCTAAGATTAAATGAGATACCGTATCTCATATTTGCACTAATTAGAAATCTACTTCGAAAATGCTCATAGATGACGCTGAGGTATCTCATTTTATCTTGGATATGATTTTTTTAACGCGGGAATATAGCATTGGGTTGGCTATGTGGAATACGTTAATCAATGCTACAATCCTATTTTTGACGTAATCTCCAAAGAGTTCGGCTCACTTGATCAACGGCACGGTACCCAATGGGTGTTTAGGCCTTAGGCCTTCGTGGTAGTTGGAGTATAAAAAAAAAGCATTTTTTATATCCTTTTTGTCGTAAAACCTCGTAAAATGTATTTTAACGCAGCTTTGCAACAACATACATCGGAAGACTGTTTTTCTTCCATAGAGTTTTAGTATTCTTCCATGGTATTGAGCGGTGGCCTTGAATGTAACTTTGAACACTGTATTCAGCGTGGCTTTGAAGGTCGAATCAAGGTGAATGTGAACTATACTTTTAACCTTGGAAGTGGACAGGCCATTCTGTTAGGACCTTAAATAAAATTATTTTGACCTTGAACGTCCTGGTCTAGGTCATCGTAAAGAACCGTCGTTTGAAACAATCTCAGGGGTCTTTCTAAAGCAAGCAAAACAAAAGAATACAAAGGCAATCCATAGCGTCATTTATCTGGGGCTGACCTATACAGTAAGATCAATCCGATGGCAATTTTCGTTAGTGGCGCTTTATACTTTTGACCGCGTACTTTGATAAATAGTACAGAGTCTCCACTGGGACACGTCACGTTTTGATTTGAGAAAAAAAATATTTATTACCATCAACATATTCGTAAAGTCGGCGGGTTTTATTTCTTGAATATCATCCCGTCCAAATGTTTGCTATCCCTTAGGACACACTCTTCAACTCGCACGCGTAAATTCTAAAACACTCTCTTGCAGAGTACCGAGGTGATGTTGTTTATTTCTCGTCGAATGTTGTTTTTAATCTCCTCCAGTGTTATTGGAATACACTTTTGACTTTAGATAACCCCACGAAATATAATCGCATGGCGTGATGTTGGGTGACCTAGGAGGCCAGTGAATGTCTCACAACTTTGATATAACTATTCGAGAAAAAAGTGCTTTCCCTATGTCCATCGATTCATCGATTCTCTGGAAGTATGGGCAGTGGCCCCATCCTGTTGAAATCATGTGTTTCTGTTAAATCGATGATCTGTTCTTGCAATAGGAACAAAAAAAGTGTCAGTCATGTCGCTCGGAATTGACTGTCAATGCATGACCGTTTTCAACATCAAGGAAATACGGCCCAATAATACCGCTAGAGGATATCGCGCACCAAACAGTCAAACAGTCACCTTTGGACTATGTAGCTGTTGTTGACGTTTCTCTTTTGGATTCGTTGGTGCCCAATATCTGCTGCTTCTTCACATAACCGTCTACGTGAAGATGGGCCTCGTCACTGAAAATAACGTTCTCGAGTCTGCGCTACGTAGGAAAAAAATTAAGCACAAGATTTGAGTGATACGTAATAACCTTCCTGTAAAGCCTGGACTGATTGGATTTTATAAGGATAAAACCCATTTTTTCCATTATGCCATGTAGTGTTGACCTAGGGATTCCCAAAGCAGCGGAATGCTTCCGTACAGAACGCCGAGTTCATACCGTAGGTGTGGGGTTAGGAATGGGTTGACTAAGAGTAGAGCCTGTTTCACGGGACCTCTTAATCCACTGTTTCAATAGGTTCTTACTTGGGGCATCTTTTGGTCGGCGAATGTTGTGTCGTGTACAGAATTTCCGAAGGACAGCTGCATATGAATCAACACTCTTAAAGTAAGCCTCGATAGCGAAAGCACGTTACGCTCCAGTCCAACGTTCCATTGTGACTATTTAACCCGCACGATCTGTAAATGAAAGTTCCAATCTTAAGGACACCCTCTATTTATAAAGCGGTTATTACGAAAAAAATCCTTAAAATCTCTTCTTCATGACAGCGCTGTGTTCTAGCCCTGATTATTTCTGACTCTACCGAATTATACATATCGAGAACTTACTAGTTTCTAGGGTACCGCAAATTTGGAAGTGGTTTCCAGAAGAAGGTTTCCCCAAGTTTCAATAATATTATGAATAAATTATTTCAAAAATATCAAAATAGATAAACTACTTCTATTAAGTTTCCCATAATCTGGTATGTAATCTTAAAAACTTGTGTAACACTATAATTCTTCCCCATTTTTCATATTGTTCAGCCATCATGTTCTCAGCAAATGAAAACGTATTTCCAAATTGAAAATTATACAAATTAAAGCTATGAGAATCATTTTAAATAAAAGCAACATATGCTTAGAACAACTACAGTGGTTGATTGTAAAGAATTTCACATATTATTTAGTTCTGATTTTCGTATTCAAATTAAGAAAATAATTTATCACCACCACATTTAAAAAGCATCACAAAATTAAATAGTTATTATCATAACTACGAGACTAGAGGCACGGTTTTATATGCAAAATTGTAATACTCGTAGTAGCATAACTAGCAAATCTGTATTTCAAAAGGGACTATTTGAATTTAATAAACTGAATAATGATACTAAATTTAAAAATAATGAAGGCGAAATACAAAAATCTCTTTATGAATACTCAAAATGCATAGTGATGTAATTTTAATGGACAAGAATTGTAAAATTACGGAAAATTCATAAAAAAATGCGTAAACGAACGATTATACAAAATTGACATTGCAGCATTAATGCCAACTGTCCAGCTTCTTTATTAACCCATATATGCCTATTGTCCGGAAAATCGAACAGAGAGCAGGTAACTGTAAATGAGCATATATTCGAGCCTTGCGCTTCTTAATCACAGATGTCGCTTTAACGCTTGGAAGTTCAAAGCACATTCAAATATAAACAGGTGTTGTTAGGTTAGTTGTAGTTATTTTGTAGCAAAAACGATACAGTTTAACGCAATGGCGCACATAGATAGAGATTATGCTCGATCTTTAACACTTTGTCGGTAAGTTTTGCAAACTTTTAATGATCATTCAGATTTTTGCTGACAGATACGTATTCTCTAAGATATACATGCTTTTTGCTGCTTTACAGCAGGCGTACAGCAACACGTGTTTTGTCCAGGCAGGGGTAAATTTGCGTGTTCGATAAAACGAACAACAGGTACACAAGGGTATATTTTGTATTTCAGTGGCTTGACGTTGGATGATATTTTGAATACGCTGGATGACGACGATGATGAGACACTTCCTAACAGCCAAGAGATAGACATTATTTTACAGCCCCCTACAAATGCGTGTCAGGATTTGACAGATGAAGATTCGGGCGACGAGGATTTGATGACCATTGGTAACCTGCCAGGCACACAACTTATGGCAGAAGCTGAATTATTCGGCATTACTCAAGAAGATAAGGAGGAAGAAATAGGAAATGAAATAGATGAGGATGATTTACCGCTACGTAGCTTGCAAGTAGCCATAAAAAAGAATTACTTATGGGAAAAGAGAGATTTAGAACCTCGACATTTTGAATGGCCAACGTACATCGATGTGAAAACAAACTTCTCACCTACAGAACTATTTTTTCAGTTTTTTGACAACAACGTCATCGATATGTTTGTAAAATATAGCAATTTGTACGCTTCAAAAAAGAACGTCTTGAACAGTACTATCACTGAAGCGGAAATGAAAGCGTTCTTCGGCATCTTGATTTTGAGTGGTTATGTCCAGCTTCCACGCCGTCGTATGTTCTGGGAGAATAGCAAAGACACCCATAATGAAGTTGTTTCTTCAGCCATGTCAAGAGATAGATTCGAATTTATTATGTCAAATTTGCATTGTTGTGACAATTCCAAGCTATCTCAACAAGATAGATTTGCGAAAGTTCGGCCACTTTTTGAAGCAATAAATAGAAATTTTCAACTTTTTTGCCCCGTACGAGCTGCACACTCAGTTGATGAGTCCATGGTACCTTACTTCGGGAGGCACGGCTGTAAGCAGTTCATCAAAGGGAAGCCAATCCGTTATGGATTCAAAATATGGATGGGTGCAATATCATCTTCAGACTGCGCTGGCTATTGTGTGTGGTTAGAACCCTATCAGGGATCAAACACTCAAATTCCCACGATGTACAAATTGTTTGGCTTAGGGCCATCCGTTGTGCTGCATTACAGTACCGTATTGCGCCAAATGCTATCTCTCCCGTATCACATTTTTTTCGATAATTTCTTTACTACTGTGCCACTTTTGGAGGAACTTTTGCGGCATAACATTAGAGGTACGGGGACAGTGCGGGAGAACAGAATGTCGAAATGCACAGTCCAGTCAAAAACTGACATGAAAAAAACTACGGGAGGTACATATGACTACGGGTCAACCGAGAATAAAGTACTAATCGTCAAGTGGAATGACAATAATATCGTAAATGTGGCCACGAACAATTTACAAGTACATCCTATTCATCATGTGTCAAGGCTTCAGAAAAGAAAAAAGATTACAGTTGATCAACCTCAGTGCATAAAAGCATACAACGCATTTATGGGAGGTGTAGACAGATGTGACGAGAATATTAGTTATTATCGTACGAGTATCCGAGGAAAAAAATGGTATTCCTGTCTAATCTTTTACCTTTTGGATTTGTCTATTCAAAATTCCTGGCATTTACATAGGCTGCAAGGAGGGTCAATGGATCAACTGACATTCCGGAGACAGATTGCTATGACCCTATTGGAAACTAACAGGGTGTCCAGAAAACGTGGAAGACCATCATGTCTAGAAAATGCAGAATCCCGTTTCATGAACACTAATGAACATTACTTAGTGCGGCAGGACAAGCCAACTCGTTGTCGCGTGTGTCACAAGCCGGTGCAAAAAAAGTGCTACAAATGCGACGTTGCATTACATATGGACTGTTTTGTTCCTTATCATACCAAGAATTAAGAAAAAGAAGTATGCGTGTTAACATTTTCTTGAAAATTAACTCATTTTTACGTATATATGCCTAACGTTCGATTAAACTAACAGCCAAAAAATGTATTTTTTCGTGTAGATTCTCAAATAAAATGACTGAATATCACATCAGAGACTATTTTTACTTCACTAAACAGCCCTTAAATCGAAATTCTTGAAAGATCATAATTCAGGCATAAATGGGTTAAAAACATAGAGAAAAAATAATACTTACCGTGAAATGATACCCCCGATTGTTTCCTTTCCTTAGCTCCGCTGGTGTACTCGCCCTCAATTTTCTTGGTCATGAATTTGGCGTAAGCCACCCTGGCAGTCCTCGGAATCTCGGAGAGGTTCGGATTATATTCTGAAAGACGGATGAATATGGTAAGCTCACATTTGCTGAAAAAAATCGTAAGACGATTGCAAGATTGAGGACTTGTCGCATCACAAGCAGAGATTTGAGATTTCCGGCAAAAATCGGTAGTGAAAAAACTGGAACAGGAAAGTGAGATTTTTGGTAGGCTAGGAAAAGTAGCCTTGATTCCTAATTAATCCTAAATACAAATAATTTACTCCAGAAAGCGCAGAAATTGGATTTATCGCTAAAACAATATTATGAAACTGGCCAAAATCATTGCCTCAAACTACCCCAGAGCTTTATTCACTTGTAAGAACAGCGGGCGGAATTAGAAATTTTGCATTGTGAGACTGAAAGTTTGAATATATAGGAGGTAGCTTTTTATTCTAGTTCTGCTGATTTTGTGGTCACCTTGATGTCCTGCGTGACTGAATGTAATAAAAATAAAGGGACGGCAGTCTTTTTCCTAGGAAAATATCAAGTTCCGTCCTGTACTTGGGATAAGGAGTTCAATGGTGACCTTGGATTTGACCTTAACCATCACCTTCAAGCTTACATCAAGGTCAACTTTTATTTTTCGAATGAAAATTCCCTTTTTCATCGTGAATCGCAAGAAAAGAAAATTCTACGTGTGATCATATATTAAAATTTCAAGGTCACCTCTGAAGGTCAAATATCATCAGAGCCTAAGGAAAACTCCTAGAAGATAAGCAGGATTACTATTGGAAAAGACTGAGGTCAGACCTTTTGAATATTTTAACAAGAATTGCAATTTTTACCTTGGATTTGGCCTCGAGTACATGAGAACGTATCAGAACGTAAAGCTTGGTGGTGTCAGAAATGTGGTTCGTGGTTGAAAGGATGTTCACTTTAAAATAAGGCGAGGTTGAATTCAAGGTCACGATTCTGTATACTGTATACAAAGAATGACGAACACCAAAGGTCACAATTAGATACCACTGTCTATTGAAAAAAGTGGTGATACGACTCAGCGAAGTTTCCCTTACGCTAGCCATAGAAAGCCAATGTTCTCCCAGAATAGATTCTCGCAAACCAAGTGCTTGACTGACACATCTTCCTATTCCCAACCTCTTCATAAGGATATGTCGCATCATGTAACAAAGATGTGTCCGTTTCAGCTCATGTCAGAGGAGGGGTTATTGGTTAAAAAAGGTTTAGCTTGAAATAACTCAGAAGATGAGGTTGAATCCGTTGTCACCATTGAAATCTTTGATAAAGTTGCTGGAGAATATTGTATCTGTAAATTACGTAACGGATTAGTTGGGTAAATTGGGGGTGTAGAGTAAAAATCTGATTCCACTTCTTGGCTGTGATCTACAGGACATCAGAAAAGCGCCATTTTTTACTAACATATATATATATATACATGTATTATAGCTTTCTTTAAGGACATATTAGACGTATACGCACGAGGTCGAAATTTTGCAGTTATGAGATTTTAGAAGTTCGGACAAATTTTCAAAAATGCCTATATAGGTACAATTTCGAAACACCTTTCTTGGCCAAGTCAGATGCGTATATCGAGAATGTGACATCAAATTTTCACTGAGATCGACGGGTCGCCTCGAAAGCTCTATTTTTCTACTTCAAATGAGGCTTCGAGATACTTTAGCATCTAGGACTCCATTGTCACCATCGTAGTGAAACCTAATAGAATAAACATAAATCAAGACATACAGTCTATAGTATGACTAGACCAGATTTGGTATCCTATGAGTACTAAAAGCACAAGACAAGTCTCAGGAGTTACATTACTGAATGACCTTCCAAAACTAGGCTACTTGTAGACCAGGACAAGAAGAAAATTTTGTTTCAAGAAACTTGAAAATATGAACTGCATATTGTTTAAGAATGTTTAAAAAAGTTTAAGTAGCCCTTTCTTGAAAAAATCAGGCGCAAAGATCAGAAATCTGATATCAGCTTTTCGATATTCTGGTTTTAGGAGAGCAGAAGTCTTATGCACTCAAATCGCGCAAAATATCTATTCCTATGGTATTAAAATTGTTCATGCGTCTTACCGACTAGTTTCTCATCATCCAATTTATTCGGTTGCTTCACATTACTCAAAATGTGCCTTCTCAAACTCTGCCTCTTAACCTGCTGATTTTCAAACTCCTGGGCACTGCCAATGGGATTGGTAGCGACCGTGTTCTTCCTGACGAGGGCATTCCAGTCCTTCTTATTTTTCTTCAAGGTCGTCCTCTTCCCTATCACCTTCGCAATCTGTCCGAAGATGCTCTTCGAATCAGTAGGTTTCTCGGTCAGTTCGCTAACCAGGGTCTCCACTATGCCTATGTGGAAGTCCTTGGCTAGACGTCTCTCCATCACTTTGGCTTTCTTGCCCGTAACTGCGAAACAAAAATCACTCGATAGGGAATAGCAGTCAGCTGAGACCGTTTTACTTTAAACTATATGAGAGAAGAATTCTTCAATGACTTTCCCCCTTTATCTTTTTTTGATTGTCTCAAAAGCATTTGACAAGGTGTGTGCTTCCAAGCTCCTGTATAAACTTATCCAAAAGGGCTTTTCCTTTTGGCTTGAAAACTATTGAAATCCTTCCTTGAATGTAGGAAATTTCGGATCAAAAAGTAGCAATGTCCTGGTTCGAGCCGGTGTCCCTCAGGGTTCGGTCCTTGGACTAATTCCTACTCATTGTCCAGGGTGGCCAACTTAGAATGCGAGATACTGTATCAGGGAACTTATCCATCGTAAAACAGGTTATGACTAAAACGGCCAAGAGAAAAATCAGGAAAACAATTTTAAGTTTCTGAACTGGTCGCTAAGGGGCGTAACTGCAATCTTGAATATAAAAAATTGATGCTGCTGCGAATTGTGCTATAATAACGTAACAAAACAATACCTGATCTTTAGAGTCGAGGAAAATTAAACTTTTTTGTTTGACAATTTTTGCTGTATTTCTAAAAATGGGGGGTACTTAAAGGTCTCCGTAAAAAATACCATGTATCTTAAAAACGGCCGAGCCAACTTTAACAATCATGGGCTAGGTGAAAAGGGCTATTCTCGGGCCATAAACGTTATAATATTTGAAGTTTTGGTGGTTCTACATGTGGCCGCTAGAGGGCTTTTTTCGACATTCCGACAGAAATGTCCAATTTTCTAAAAAAAAAAAATAAATGCGTTGGTATGATTTTTTCTCTAAAAAAGTAGCCAAATGATGTTTAAACCTAAAATTTAGGTCAAAGGAGATACGTTTTTATTGTATTTAAACTATTTTTTCTGAAATTTCTCTTTATTATCAAGTTGTGGCCCTAAAAAGTCATGCTTCTGAGAAGTAGTTCACGACAGGCTGCAAAGCTCGATGGAGAAAGTATTAGAATGGGCGGATGGTGATTGATTGAAATTAATAACCATAAAAAAACCTAGGCAATCTATTGTACGAAAAGACATCGCGGTACACCATCTGAAGCTTCAGTGAATGGAGTTCGTTTTCCATGGGGAAGCTTCGCTAAGTACCGCGATGACATTTCCTCTTCTCGTATTTTGAGGGAACATTAAAGAAGAGCCATGTAGACCTTGGCGCTTTAAAGCAGCGATATAAATTGCAGGTGGTAACTTTGAGTGCCTGATTTTGAGCATCAAATCGTGCTTTTCCGGTAAATGGAAATACGTTTGACCTTTACTCATCTACACATTTATCTTCCAGCATGCCTTCTTCCTGATTTTGATAAATATATGCTACTAATACCATCCAATTTTTCATAAAATGTATCCCCGATTACCATATATCCCAACTTTTGTGTAAGAATAAAAGAAAATTTATCGTTCCCTTAACATATTTTGACCATCTAAACCGTATAGATGATTCATGGTCAACTCCGCTTTGGTTGATGCATATAAAGTGGTATAACTGATCTTGCAAGGTCATTCCCGGCGCCTTTATGCCGTTTTCTCCCAGAATATCAATGAGTTTGTTACGTATGCTAGAAATAGCCTGACGCATAATAAATTACTGTAACTTTGAACTGTACTAAAATGGGCTTTAAGCAAGAGTTTGATAGACAACCCCAGTGAAACGTATTTCAATATAGACGGTCTTCGATTTGAACTAGTTTGCCTGTTTGGAACTTGAAACTAATTGCTGGTCGAACTGTATATTTTTTGACTTCAGTCGTACCTACCCTTCTGAGATATTATGTTTATTGGTTGTTATATAATATGTGTATCATGGAAAACCATGTCACTCATTTACGTATTGCTCGGATTTTAACTTAATTTTCACACAAGGTTACTACACTACAAGGATGAAAAAGTGTTGTAGATTCTGAAAATCTGGTTAGTGATGGCGGAGCTTGAGGCAAAAAAAAACAAATTGCTCAAACTTCTTTTTTGACGTTTCAGAAGATCCTAGCTATTTTAAATTTAGGACGTGCGAAAAGTTTGAGGTTGAGGTTTGTAGGAGGTGGAAAGGAGTATATTACAATTTTTGAGCGTTAGTATATTTAAACGTTTCCAACCTCGGTAATTTTACGCACCCATTGGACATATTTCATACAACATATATTTCTTCAGCGATGATGGGTGACTGCAATGCCGTGCTGGATTGGCGAGTGCAGCGAGTGCCGAGCCAGGTAGACTTGCCGCGTTGCCAGATGTTCGGTTTTCTCGGTAGTACGGTAGGCTAGGTCGTAATGTTCTCAAATTTATGGGGACAATTGACTAATTGTATGAGCCTATTTGACTTAGTTGATCTACTAATTCTTGTGTTGTACATGTTTATAGTTAATTTGTTTCTAAAAGGGAATCTCTCGTGCCTTAAGTAATTTCTTATGAACTGATGACAACGTTGGTTGGAAAGTGCGACTGCTAGTACTGTTAGTACAACTGACGCCATTTTTTTAAGAGTAGTACTGAAATCTTTTTCCCGATTATTCACATAACATTCAAAATACAACTAATGCTGATTACGATTTTCTTACTGTCATATGCCTATGTCTTGAGCACCTGTCTAATAACCTAAAAGTGCAGATTCTTTCGTGAGAGAACAATAAGAGGCGAAACACCGATATTTTTAGGTTTCCTATGAGAGAAGTTTCAGAGACCCTTACGTATTTTCTGTTTCTTCGTCGCGATACTATACAATGTTTTAAATGTTATATTCCTAATCCGACGTTAATTTGGCAATAGGACTTTCAGGGGTTCCAAGCATCCCATTTTTTCCTCAAATTTAATTTCAGGATGCTTCGTTCTTCATTTTTTACATCATTCATATTGCGCAATTTACCTAAACAAAGTTTAATTAGATTGTAACTTGAAACAACGGGGAATTAAGATGGACATTCGGCAGTACAGAGTCCTACAATATTTTCAAATTTTTACGGATATAATTTTATGAAACACCCTTACGTATTTGTGATCTAAACGAAATATAGCTTCCGAGTCCCACGTTAGTTTGATGATAGGTCGCTACGCCCCCTTGGTGGATGCCAATTAAAGACTCCAAGTTCATTTTTAACCCCTGGCCTCTGCCTGCATCCTCCATTACCATTTATCTTAACTTCGCATAAGAGTAAAAGATATGCCTTCATTCTACGATATCCACAGTTTATTTATGGTCAGCTGTTTCTGCAGCTGCATATTAAGAAACATAACAGACCTTGTACGTCCTGGAAGCTAATTTCCGGGGCCTTCATTCCGTTTTTCCGCAGAATATCAATGAGTTCGAAACGTAGGCTGGAAATATCCTGACGGATTTCCATAACGTCGTCTTCCGTTATGCCGAAGTCGTCCCTCTTCCTTTGTTCGGCCGTAACGTATCTTCTTACTAGTAATTTCATTACGTGCTCGTATCTTTCCCTCGCTTTCTCTCTTGATTTTACCTACGGAATATATCATAAATATGCGCTGACGAAATACATGCACTGATCAGAATAATAATATTGTACAGCCGTCCGCAATGCCAGAGATCATCGCAATTTAAAAATTAGGCAGAGGGTAATGTCGCAGCGCAACGGCAGTCGCTCTTTCTAGAGGCTGGCGAACCCGATTTAAAAGGACTCCTCAAAGAGAAGCATTCGACCGCTTACGTGCCAGGATGGAACAATTGTAACCGTCGACTCAAAGGCTAAGGTGTAGGTGCTTACAAATTCTTTGCTGTCAACTCCACCGTAGACGTCCCCCCCCCAAATCCCGAGTGCCGTCGATTCAAAGACACACTATGCAGGAAGTAACCTTCAAACGTAAGACCCTAAGACGCTTGACATCAACAATGCTTCTGGTCCAGACAATGATTCTTTAGTTCTTTCGCGTCTCTTCCAGATATTCTACGAATGGAGCATTTTCCCAGGAAACTTCCATCCTATGGTCATCCAGAGAATCTTAGCAGATGGCTCGTAATTGACAGATTCTCCTCTTCATCCCATAATGTCATAGCGGTTGTAGCCCAGGGATCGGTCTTTGCTCCGACATTGTTCCTCTGACATATCAACGACCTCCTGTCCTATACGATCAACCCGATCCACAGCTTTGCTAATGACAGCAATCTACATAACGCCCCTAGTGGGCGCTGTTGACCTCCGGGGAGGGGTCAAGAGCCTGAAAGAAATTGGGAGACGACGCAATATTATATAATATAATTGATTGTTAGTGTGGGCAGTAGAGGAAATAAGTTTGAGAACCGCTGGTTTACTGGAAATAAATTTGCCCCAGTCATTATTTTTCTGGAATAATGAACCAGATGTAATTTGGCTTTATTAGGAGTAATGCTGGTAGAATCATCCAATTTAATATATCCGAGAACGGGGAAGAATTATTTCATCTTGCAAACTCCAGGACCGTCTGTAGTACATACAGATTTGCTCAACATCCTATCTGCTCAACTAAGGTACATTTTTAGTGTCAAGTCTCACCTTGTTTCAATTCTATTTTAGAGAACGGGTATGACTGAACTATATTATAAAACCGTGTGATTATAAAAAAATGTAGGAGAATGAGAGTGTTTGTGGCCAAATATACTCGTAGTACCATAAAGGTATGTGCGTGCGTCAATCTATTCAATGGTTTTTCTTCATCGATAATGGAAACTCCCCCTATTTATTTCTTATCAATAAAACATAGCAAACCATTAAACCAAAAATAAAATACTTGAAGATTCTAGGGCACTCCTTGTCTACCATGCGAATTTAAAAAACAGTTCAACACTCTTTTGAGGAAGGGATAAACATTACTGGATACATAGCAACCAAATCAGTTACATTCAGAAGTAAAATTTCTCCCCAACTGCCGGATGATCAACCAAAGGTAATACAACCAGTACCAACGAAATTGAATGGTACTTGGACGTCGCTCATCCTCGATACCGAGTAGCCGATAGTTTTGTCAACTTTTTCTGCTAGGTATTTGAAAGAGTGATTGGAAGATTTCTTCCTAGTTCTACAAAAGCGTTTTAACGTTGCTCAAGATTCATACGGTCAGTTTGTAAAACCGCTCTGTAATTATTTTCCTTTACGAAACGAAACATGGGAAAACCCCAACGCGACTGTAACCGCTCTTTGTGCGTCTATAAGACCAAATATCTCAAAACAAGATCAAATTAAGTAACGTTTTAACAAGGACTTCTATTGATTTGATAATCAAGAAAGATTGAATAATACGATAAACTTTCTACTCAAACTTCACAGTAGCACGTGTCAATACCAATAGCTTGATATCATGAAAATTCCAGAAATGGAAATGGGAGAGACACGATATAAATCCTCGTCTCCATATTGCACTTGATCAAACACGTTTGAATCAGAAAAATCAGATATATACAAAAGATGTTTTTACCTTAAAACTCCTGGTCCCCTTGATATTCTTCCTGCACGGCTTTAACATGAATTTCGGCGTCGGGACGATGTTAAAGGGCGGCGGAAGCGTATCTCCTTCATCGAAATAATTCACCCACAAGCGACTCCTCGCAAATTTCCATTCCGTATCAGAGCGTTCCTGGAAGCAGCGAATCCGCATTGATGAGGTGTCTGACAACAATTTATATCCCCATAATCATTATTCACACGATCCCCGCATCTTCCAGACGCGGGACTTGTCAAGATTGTCTCAACAATTATGTCAACGTAGCTGGTCGTAATCACCAAGCATGCATGAAGATTCCTACTGGTATACAGACTAACAATAGTAAGATCACTGTACAGTCCAAATCGGTATTTTCTGCGTCTATCTTTCGTCAGCGTGACAGCTAAGAGTGTTGATTCGCATGCTCCGCCCTTAAATACCTTAAAGCTATATTAAATTTACATTTTTTATTTTGCTACATAGTCTACCTTCAGAGTCTAGCTTCGTGTTCTACGTTCGGGTATTGAGTTACATCTGGGACTTGGGTTACCTTCCTGTGATAGCCAAGCGCCTGCCAAGGTGGCTTTTTTATTTTTAGTTTTTGCTGGAAACCATTTAAGCTGCGGGTGTAGTACAAAATAGTTTTCTTTAGCTTGTCCTCCAGGACGTGTTTTAAATTCTTGTATTTTTTTGTTCAATAAATGTTTGTACACCTCGTGAGTTTGTATCTCCTCTAGCGCCAGACACTCAACATTGGTTGCTTGATATTTCTTTTCGTAGTGCTTGGGACTAGGTGGCGCCCAAACCACAACCAATCCAAAATTCGAGGTACAAAGAACCTCACCTGAGGTCTCATTAACTGCTTACCGAGCACAGTTGCATTCTTTTACCAAATTATAACTTGATAGATATTTTGCTGAATTCGTGACCTTTAATTAATTTTGCTGATTTTTTTGCATGAGTATCGAATATAGAGCAAAAACTAAATGAGCAAGGCAACGAATACCATTTTAGCGTAATGCTACCCAGCTTGCTGAAATGCATCAAGACTTTCTGCCTAAGGCTAGAAAACTACCTACTATCCATCATATATCCGCCTAGGTGGTCCAAAGAATGTTTGCTCGTTAGCCACTGTCTAATGTGGCATAAATTAGATGCATCTACCAGGCTTGGTTTCCCAGAAAGCAGATAGTATTAAGTACGAAGCAGTGAAGGAAAGGCACTTGAAAGAACCTTAATACGTATTATTGACTACAAACTAGATACAATCCCATTCAAAGTTAGTAGGGACCTTTGAAATCGTTTAGACTAAGGTCTTTCGTCCTATTACTCCTTCCTGTCACGTAAGTAGACCTGCTTCCTAATAATATTGATGTTTTGTCGATTCACACTTTCACACTTCCTACATAAATAAATTCTAGCTTTATTTTCTGTAGATGATCACTAGTCAAAACTACAACTGCTTTCAATAATTCAGTCTGGCCTAATCTGAAAATAGTCTTAGTGTGTTGAAATGTCAGTTAACTTATCATACTGTTGAACCACATTATCTCCCACATCTCTAACTTTGGATAGCTTAAGGTTAAACACTTCTAGCAAATACGGAAGCATAGCTACCGCTAAACAAAGTTACAAGGACTCACAGAAATAATCTGATACGAGTTGGACATCATGGCGATCAACATATTGAGTAGCACGATAATGTTTATAACTGAATACGATCCAAACATTAGCAGTGCCCAAAATCTGGTAAAACCTTTTATGCCAGTAAGTTCAAAGCACATTAGATCCACCAATCCAAAGCTAGCCCAAAATAGGGACTGAGATGTTTCGAATAAACTGAAAAACAAAAAATATCTCAATGAAGATGAAGCTAAATTTATTGGGCAAGAAGACGACAGCGTGGCATGCTTTAGATTTTACATGCGTCACTCTTGGCTCAAGTAGGGAGTGGAAATTGAACCAACGAAGATTACAGACTGTTCACACTGTTACTACCCAGTTCATCTATTTATTAAAGCCGACCATGGAGGAACTTCTGGTTGAAAGCTTTATAGTTTGTAGTGCTATGTTAGCAAAAAGGTTCAGAGAGACACATGAAGAGTTCAAAAAATGAAAGAAATCACAACCACACCAATTAGTGATTACCATGTGCGTCTCTTCCGACTGGCATGTCTACGTCTGAAAAGCAAACGTGTTCGATACGGAGCGTGAGCGGTCGTGGATTTGCCTCCCTCACGATGATGTCATAGGCAAGCGGACAATACCTCGCCCAAATGGAAGTAATTTCACGCATGGATGTATCACGCTTCGTGAAAACGTCCCACGAGAGATAGAGAATTTTTGCAAGTCTCTACAGGTTTGTCATATCTGATGTGCGCTTTGTAGATTGATGTGGAAACAACTATGCCAGACACGTACGGAAGACGGTTGTATCGTAATTTTGAAGTTTCTATCATGAGTATCAACATGGTTATGATAACTCCCAAACATATGTTAGGTCACCTAGACACAATTTTGTAAGCAAAGGACGGATGACATAACAAGTAATTTTTATCATGAGCTATGACTAACAAAATGAGACTGGGACCAGATCTCTTTACGATTGCTAGCCGTCATTGGGTACACTTAAACATGTGCTACGTATGGAACTATAACATGTTGTCCCTTTGACGTGGCAACTATGACTACTGCAAAGTTTTACCACTCGCCATTCGGGTTGTGTTACGCTATTTATGTTAGCATATTCTGAGGGGCAGTTTCAATCTTGCCGTTAATATTTCAACATAGGTAGCAAAGTATATATCAGGTGTTTAAAAAACCAGTTTCACGAGTGGTAAAAATCGGTAGTAGATAAGGCTGACATAGACATTCATGCAAAGCGTACGTATTGTTTGTCAAGTTAAGTCGCCGTGAAAGAGTAGTGCTTGTGGTAACCGATGTCTTGCTGTCTGATACACGCGCAAAACAGAAACTTGCTTGACGATTTAAGATTGTACAAGCAAAACGTACGACTTGCATGAGTGCCTATGCCAGTTTATACAGGGTGATTCACAACTTATCCGACAAATTTTAACAGATGATAAAATAATACAGTTTAACTGTTCACTTACTTATAAAAGCTGTTCAAAATTGTTTCCATTGACTGCAATGCAAGCTTGGGTGCATCTAATCCAATTTCGGCGCACTAATTCAAATGCACCTCCTTCCTGCTGTGCCTGAATATTCAAATTATCGGCAGCCACTGTGGTTCGGTCACGCAATTCTTCAATATTCTGAACTGTAGTACGGTATACCTCGATTTTAAAGATTCACAAAAGAAGTCCAGAGGATTTAGATCGGGAGACCGTAGAGGCCATGCAATTGGTCCACCCATTCCGATCCAGCGTATCTGGTGTACCTGATTCAAAAAATCACTAACTTCTAAACGAAAATGCGGAGGTGCCCCATCGGGCAGAAACCACATCCGTGCTCGGACCGCCAACAGCACATCTTCAAGAAGGATTCCGAAAAAATTCCAAAATACTGGTGACCATCCATCCGATCTGGCAATATGAACGGTCCAATTAGACGTTCATCGACAACATCTGCCCAGACGTTTGAAGAAAAAAGATGTTGGAAGTGTGTCTGGACCACTGCGTAAGGATTCTCAAAGTACCAAACGTGTGAATTATGGAGATTGGTTATCCCATTACGAGTAAAAATAGCTTCAACGGTGGCAAAAATATCAGCTGCAAAACGAACATTTCGAGCATTTTCTTACAACAACCACTCACAAAATCTTACTCTTAGGGGGTAGTTTGTAGGTAGTAACGCCTGGACTCTCTGGACGTGATAAGGGTACAGTTGGGCCTCATGTAATATGCGCCACGCTGTTCCATGTGTCACCTCTGGGACCTGTTGGGCTAACAGACTTGTGCTTATTCCCGGATTTTCTTCCACAATATGAAACATTTCGTCTTCGGCATTTAAAAGGCGTTGTGGGTGAACCGGACCCTCATCCACTCCACGCTTGGGGCGCCAATCTCCACTAGCACGTGCACGTAAAACAATTGAACTAAATGTTTCGTGATATGGTATGTGCCTATTCGGAAATCCGTTTGCATACAAACGAGAAGCCGCTCGCGAATTTTGCCCTGCTTCTCCGTACGCTTAAGCAATGTCCACTAACTTCTCATTAGTGTACACATTTGCCATTTTTATCAATAAATAAGTTAAAACATAAACTCGCAACATATTTTCCTATTTAACTTCATAAAAATCGACCGTTCTTCATTCGGATCACCCACGATACAGATTAATCCTTATTTACACGTTTTTATCAGTGTGAAAAAACAAACAATTCCTGGTATTTTGCTTTCGTCAGTTGTTTGGTACAACATTTGTTACAATAAATTGTTAAAGCGTGTTCTAATATCACGACAATGAACGCAAAATACAGATACTTATTTTTCAGTTTATTATTGAAACTCAGGTTTATAACTCAATTTGTGTAGGGCTTTTATTACATTTTTTTTTTTTGAGAAATCAACTTCTTTCGTAACAGAGCATATGTGGTTAAAATTTGTCGGATAAATTGTGAAACACCCTGTATACATATGCTACGTAGCTTAGACAAAATTTAGTAAGAGAAGGATGAACATTTGTCCAAATTGTTACTGGTCACTAGTTACAGATACTCATTTTCGCTATTCTCATTTACCTATAATTTTGTTTCTCTCTCCAAACTCGTGCCCAGCGTTTGATTAAAGCAGCGGTTGGACAAATTAAAATGTGTCCCCTACAGACATCGACCAACAATGTAAAAATCGTTATTTATACAATCCCACCTCGTGCTGCGTTTCTACTGAAAAAGTGTGTTTTGGTAGAACAGAGTACAGTAAATTTTCACATTTGATGATGTACTCGCGCCACCAACCTGACTGGTTTAAAGCAGAAGGTGTATCTTTCTACTTAATGAAAACCAACTTCTCTTATACTGCGATACTGACAGTTGCACTAATGAACTTATTTCATAAGCTTAGATTTAATCACGCTGACTTTCATCCCTTTTATCTAGCAAATCACTTTATGAAGGATTACCAGGAATGAAAGGTAAGATTGACCGGTTGATCAAAGAGGCCGGAAATCTAATAATCTTCAAAGTATCCACGCGTACTTACTTTGCATATCTTCTCCATATACCACAAGCTTTATCATTATTATCAAAATCAGGTAATCCACTAGGTAGATGGTAACACTTGTTTTTCTCTAATTCGGCATAATACCAAAGCAACTGATTCAGACCTGCAAAGGAAGTATCAAACGAAGCTTTCTGTGTAAACATGCTACTTACCGCAGCCGAAAGCAAACAGAACTAACGTGTATATGAAGAAGAATTTTACTATATCGATGATCATTCGCCCTAGAGATATTTGCAATGGGCCCAAATGAGGATTTACGCTGAAGATGTGTACCAGTTTCAAAAAGCTGAAACAAGACAGCGTATGTAATTTCACACGTATTGTCGTGTTCATGTAACTGCTAGGTGAAGAGAAGGTATAAAAGTATCAAATAGTATTATGATGGTTATTGTATTTTATTAGTATTGCTCAGTGCCAGTCTTGGTCAACAAACTTTAACTAATGTTGAAAATCCTTTGTCAAATAACGAAAAATTCATACTTTTTTCTGTAAGTGCAAACTTTTCACTGTACATGTGGCGTTGGTTTATACATGAATTTTGTGTCTATTGTTTAGGCTCGTTAGTCCATCTAAGCAAGTCAACAGATGAGAGCGGGCATGTTATTAAGAGGCTTAGACCAGTAAGTTGTTTTATTTGTTAGACTGTATGTCGAAATCAATTACTTGTGATAAAAATATATATTTGTATACACGAAAGATCTATTAGCTGTTACTGGAAGCTATAAAACTGAAAGGATGCCAATTTCGTGCATGGATTGGACAGTCCATTATAAGCCGATCTACGCAAACGTTCCATGCATAATTTCGAAAATAGACTCATACCACTTAGTTTATTAGAATCCGCCCTGCACAGTTATTATGCTTATTGATTTGGATATGAGAAAAAGGGTAGCTTGTTAGTGTCATATTTGTTAACGTTTCGGAAGGTAGCGAGTGGCCAGTGCTAAGGGCTTCGTGATCTATTAGAGCTTTAGCCGTGGAAGAGGTGATTAAGGTAAAGGTGATTTGACTTCCTTTTAATGCTGCGTAAGAAAATTCATTTCTGTACTAGGAGTCCATTCGAGAGCGCTTGAGATTGCTTGATAATTTACAAAGGGATCACAATCCCTACAATACGTTTAAGCCACATGCTATAACATAACCTCACTTCCACGTAGAACGTTTTTCTTATGCCATCTTGTCTCTCTAGAGCGGAAGACCGTGATTGGTCCTCGACAAATGGCACTTTGAGTACCTAACTATAAACGATAAAATTCACATTTATTTACAGCGGGACGTTAGAATGTATGAATAAGTTTTGCGTTTAGACAAAACATATAGAATTTGAGAGGAAAGGATTATAATGAGCTTCTGTATAACTTGTTCTATTCTCGAGGGTAAGTAACGTTTTTATTTGGTGTCGGAGCTGGAAAAATTAGTTTTTTGCGTGTATTCAAATAGTTGCGAACTATTGGTGTAAATGAGACCTTGCGCGGTAAATTCTCGATAACGATCAATTTGTCATTACAAAAAGAACGTCAAAAAATGATTTCTTTATTTATTTTTTGACAGGAAAGTGCATTGCGGTAAGTCTGTAATGACAGACAAAAGCGTTTGTGATACTTAACAAAAATGCTCAACAATTGCTGAAGGTTTCTAATTTCTCTTTTGAGAAAAATGCAATAATCAAGTGGTCTCATACTGTGCTCATTCTCGTACGAAATACTTAGTTTGACATAATATTAAAAGAGATACCAGATATTTTATGCTAACAATGTAAAGAAGTTTCGCCAACACTACGTCTAATTTTGCCTATAAACAATGTGTAGCAGTGCTGATGATCTAGAGCAGTCTTTGCGTAAACTATTTAGAGAATTAAATCGCAAGGAAGATTGTAGTGAATAGCCAATACCAGTGTTGAACACCTGTGCAATTTGGGCAGTATAGGCTGAGAAATACAAAGAATAGAGGTGTATATTTTTGCTGTGGAACCAGGCACGCTGCATATTTATTGACAAGTGAAGACCTCATAAGGTTCGATGCCAATGTCGGAACACTGGGTCTTGATTCTTGAAATCAGAGAGAAGGCTACCCAATGTCGACAGTTGAAGGATTTTTGTAGGTTTTCTTTCTCGGTGGCTCAATGGACGATCGAATTTGAATATTATAAAAAGAGACACGATTCTACCTATTAGACTAGGCTTAGTATCAACAGTCGCTGTAAGATTGCAAGATCACTGAGTTAGAATTCGAAGTCGCCATCAGTGATTTAAATTTAATGTAAATTATAATAACGAGTCGTCAACAGTACTCCGACTTGGGGAGAATCATCTTAAACAAAATCCTCTAAGCTATGACTACGCGCCACTGGTTAAAGGTACGATTCTGAGAAGGGGTTGTAAAACAGGTAGGTATGGTAATAAACCAGGAATGAAGACTCATCCTGTATTCTGGTCTCTCACATCAAAATTCGAACACGTAACTTCCAACCGGGCTGAGTTGCAATTCCTCGGAGGTTCTTAGTTAATTAATTCTCAAGTAATGTCAGTGATACAATCGGGAAGTCGTTAAGGATAATAAATAGGATAATAAAACTTTCGTTCAGCTTCTTTATCGAGGTTTGGTACTGCTAGTGATATATTTTTCATTCATTTATTCATTCATAAATTATTAATTCAGACTTTCTTTATTTTATTAATATAATTGAAGCCTTTGAGATGTTTTGAGATCATTGTTTTTTTTGCGTGACTGGAGTCTTATTAATTCATCTAGAGAAATGATTATGTTCTATAGCGCTCTTGAATCTAGAATTTTGTAAACACATTGTGGTTGATGGATATTATGAATCGAAGTCCACTTGTTCAGATTTGATCCTAGAGGCTAGCTTGTATATATTTTTTTTATATTCAACTATTAATCCGCGATTGTGTCCTTTATTACTATTGAACCTAAGAGTTCAGTGTCGCCAGTGAGTTTCATCTTAAACAACCGATCTGGGTCTAGTCCAAGGAGGGCGTCTTGTTCCAGTAGGTGAGTCGTTGTATTTTGAGTTGGCCAGATTCTTGGGATCTACCTTCCATAAGAAAAGTCTGTTTATAAGGGACCTTGATAAGGGAACATTAAAAACTCTAATTAAGGTCATAGGTATGAAGTATTAAACCTTTAAGGTCGCAAGACCTTTTTTAGCAACTACCTGTATGCCACGGTATTCTAACTCCTTTTTATTTGATTATTTCGTGGTATGTATACAGATGATTAAAAAACAATGCTATCAACATTTTTGGCGATAAAAGCATTTTTGATGCATTTTATTGTGCATGATTTCTTCAATCGTAACTTGTTAACAAATATTAAAACAGCTCTGAAATTAAATGTTAATATTCCACTCTTATGGAAGAATCAAACGGTGATTAGTTTTATTTTTATCACTTTTTCTCTTCGGAAAATATTTGATTTTCTTGAAACCTCAGGTTGCAGCAAATTTAGTTTTCAAGAAAAGAAAAGATTTTTTGAAGAAAACAGGTAATCATCCACTGATAAATTAAAGTCCAAATCAATAGTTTTGTAACAGGAAAATCTACCACATATGGTTATAGTATGTCTAGTGAATCAAATCACCCAAAACCACGATGATTCCATCTATTTGTATATTTGTCAATCCGAAAAAGGCATTCGATACAGTTAATCACAGTTTACTGTTAAAAATGTTAGACAAATTAGGCTTTTGTGGGAAAATAAATTCTTTGATGCAAAGTTATTTATCAAGAAGGCCCGAAGTAGTGAAACTATCAAAACCATACAGTAAGGAAATGTTTGTCAATTGTGGTGTACCTCAGGGTATAGTGTTAGGCCCTATTTTATTTAATATCTGTTTGACTGATATATTAAATATTAATGGTGTAGGTAAAATAATTAGTTTTTCTGATGATATGGCAATACTATATAAAGTGCAAAACTGGTATGATGTAAAGAGAATAATTGAGAATGGCTTTTATAAAATCATTCATTTTTTCAACACTAAAACATTAGCATTGAACTTTGAAAAAACTCATTTTCTACCCTTCACATCATACGCAAAACATCTACACGATTATTCAAATATTTCCTTAAAAATAAACAGTACAAATTTAAAAATTGACATACGATTTGTTACATACAAAATTAAATTTCATACCTTAATTGAGCCGCACCTAAGGTATGGTATATTAGCATGGGGTACAGCATGTCCAGTATACTTAAACGACATAGAAGTTTTACAAAGAACGATCTTAAAAATTATTTTCGGAAAACCAAAATTATATTCAACAAATGATTCATATAATGAAGCAAAATTATTTGATATCAAGCAACTTTATTTTTTACATACTAACAGCCATTATCACGAGAAAAAACTGTCCCTAAGCCTCATAAAACGATAATGAAGCGACCTTTTCTCTATTTTGCCCCAAAATTACATGAACACATACCCAAAGACTCAAAACATTTCCGAAATACACATAAATTTAGGAAGAAATTATCAATTGATACACGCAATAGAAATACAACTCGAGTTCCTGTCAAATATACCTTAAAAATTATGATCCTCTAGATATACAACTCTTAGATATAAGTTTTTCTTTAAGTTTCTTTTAACTTTTTTGTTTTGATTTTGGAACACATTCCAACATACGACTGATCCATGTACAGAATTGTCCTTCTGTGGATTGCAACATTTATTTATCCACTCTATGTTCTTATTGTTCTTATATAATGGAGTAGATAAATGTCTACTAGTACTCCTTCGTTTTTCCGTAAGAGTGAAATAATCAAAAACAACTTCAGAGCTGTACTCATCTGTTAACAAGATACAAATGAAGAAAAAATGCATAAAAAATACATTGTTGACAAAAGAGACATAGATAACATTGTTTTTCAGTCATGCCTATACTCATCATGAAACAACCAGATCAAAGGTATTAAGAATATTCCTCCAGAAAAAAAAAGAAAGCGACATTAAAACTAAAGTCTTTAAAGTATAGCATGCCTGAGAATAGAATGCCTTGCCATGATTTGACATTTAATTCAGAGTCACAGAGTGAAGTCATTGTAATTGGTCATGTCAGATTTCACTTCGAAGGCATCGCCATCTTCTACAACTTTTTGTGGCTCACTAATGCCAGTAATTTGCAACTATAATATAAACGGAAATGCGCTTATGCCAACTCTTACGGTAAATAAAAAAGGTACTCAGGAAAATTTTTGTATTTCTCGTACCTTCAGTATACCGCCAAGAATATAATTACATGATCAAACGAACTTACCTGTAAG